GATGGCAAACACCACCAGAGAACACATCCCACGTCCAAGCTTGTCCATCCCTGGAAAAGGTGACACGCTGGACCTGCAATGATGGGAACGCAGAGCGTTTAGCATCCAGCTCCACATCTGATGTTACATGAGCCGAGGCAATTTAAATGAAAATGAAGCCGAGCTACAGTCTAATTTCAAAAGGTAACTTCAATGATGAGAGGCAATTTTTCTGAACAAAGGTATACTTTATTCTGAACAACTCATTATCCATAATAATCATCCACTTCAGGAAACACTACATTAAGTGTGTGTGTGGTGTGCAGACCTTTCCCCTGTAACATGACTTTATAATGTACATGATTTTTAATTTCACCGGGAAACAGAGGCAGGCAGAGATGAGATGGCAACTATGACAATTACTTACAAAGTGAAAATAATTAACATTATTATTTAACATTACTTACATTATTTTGGGCATGTAATGCCACGGTGTTTTGGACACTATCATGATGCCATTTTCATAATATCCTTACAGTATCATATTAATGTCATGATATATGAATATTGAATCTGTGCTGATACTATTATACAGTAAAGTTAATATCATGATATGATCAAAGTGTCCTAATAAAAACAGAAGTACCAAAAAGTACACTTTTACCTCCATTTTTTTTTACATGAATTGTAGTACCATAGTATTATTATCAGTACTTTTTGTAAGGGCAGTACCACAGCAACATTACCATGGTACTTTTATGTTAGTGTTGGACACCATGGTAATTTTACACAAAACTTGAAGTTAAATAGACTCATTACACTGTCAAGATAAGTTTAGATGTTTATGATTACTAGAAGAATAAGCGTGAAATAGATTATGCTGTTTATATTTCGGATGAGTTAAAAAGAGGAACGGTGACTTTACGCAAGAAAACCGACAGACACCGAGAATGTAGACACAACTCACGCCGTTTATGTGATGAAATACACGCGTTCATATAATCTGAACATAAATCGTACTTACTTGCCCAGTAAATCTTTACGAATCACTCACGAAATAATAAATGATTTCAGCTTCACTCGTGACCCTCTCCTGTTAAAAGCAGAAGCAGAACGTCTCGTGTCTAACCAATAGGAACGAGGGGGCGGAGTCTGAGGAGGAGCGTATGGACGTTCGCACAGGACGCATGACGCATGAACGAGTTTAATATATCATTTTATTTATTTTTTTCATTTTTTAATATGTAATTTATCAAGTTTCTTACATATGCATATTTCAGGTAGGACATATTAGACATTCAATTTTAATGTCTTTTTATAGGAATAGATTCAACAAAATGCTTTAAAAAAAGACCACAGCAATATTATATTTTTGCACATATGTTTGGTTATATATTTGAAGTATCATTGTAAATGCCATGCCACATCAATATGGTAATAATTTAGTGTCATGGTATTTATCTTATTATTATTTTCTTATACCATTACTACTTTTTTTTAATTAAAAAACTCCTCTAAATGTCATTGTTTTAAACAAAAATGTTCTTTTCATGTAGATGTCTTGTCATTTATGGTCATGTGGGTAACAACCTTTCAAGATCATGACTTTAATTCTCGAAAACAAGGAAGCAATTTTAAAATCTCTTATCTTCATAAACATCCTTTATGCAAGCAAAGACTAAAATTAACAAATGAGGAACTGAAAGTTACATTTGTGGGTAACACCATAAATCACTGCAGCTGCATGCAAAGCACCTTAAGTCACTTATAGAGTGATTAAAGATTAACAAACACACCATGTTTCACATTGCTCCCGATTCTATTTGGAGTAAAAGCTCACAGAGTTCAAAGCAACAACAAATATAACTTCTTGGTTTGTAAACCCTGTAATTTGGGCTGGTCCTTTTGCTGCGCATATCCAAGGTTTGTAGTCTCATACGTTTCCTCCATTTAGTTAGTTCTTATTACTTCCACTAACTGAGAAACACTGAATGGTTACTGGACAAAATTTATTTGAGGCAACAAATGTGAAAAGAAATGAACACTTTTAAAAAATGAACACACAAGGTTACCAGTAAATTTTTTTCAATCAAACGCAGAAATCATTTTGATCAAATAGAAAACAATTTCTTTGTGCAGCACAATTTCAGAAAATCGAATTCACAATAATGTTACAATTGTGTTGGCAATTTAAAGACATAATGCAAATGCTTCTCTCACAGTCCAGTGCCTTTTTCACATATGAACTTTTTCACATATGAAGCACTGTCACATAACTCTCATAACCGTAACAATCACTGTTACAACACTGACGGAGACGCTGAACGAAGCAAAAAATGTGCATAAAAATATATGCTGATTTGGCAACAGTTCAATTAGTCCAAGAAACAAGTCAAAATAAAGAAGATATAGTCCAAAGTTACAAAAATACTTTTAAATAACAGGGTATAAATAATGGTCAGTTCTTTAGTGGCATCTTCTTTTTTATTTTTTAGGGGGTTTTGCCTTTATAGAACAGGAAAGAATGGGAAATGGGGGTTGTGATCAGGAAATGACACATGAGCCAGATTCAAACTTAGGTCAGCCAGCATAAGCGTCATTGCAGGACATGCATCCACATTTCCAGCACTGGTAGTCTCATCTTAAAGAAATAGTTCACCTAAAAATGAAAATTTGCTGAAAATGTACTCTCCCTCAGGCCATCCAAGAAGTAGATGAGTTTGTTTCTTCACCAGAACAGACTTGGAGAAATTTAGCATTTCATCACTTGCTCACCAGTGGATCCTCTGCAGTGAATGGGTGCCGTCAGAATGGGAGTTCAGACAGCTGATAAAAACATTGATATTCATCTAGTTCCACCTATTCAAATCATGCATGTGTATTTGCTTAACTACATTTGATGCTTGCAGCCTACATTGTAGTGTTAGATAATGTTGGGGCAAAATTAAATAACTTTCATCAGCATAAGAGACAAACTCACTCTCAGTGTCTTTTAAAGGTTTTATTCTTTGCAAAGAAGGTCAAACATCGTACAGGATACAAGTCGCTGCAGAGTGTGACAAGGAAGGGAGGGCAAGCCTCCGCTTTATACCTCTTTTCCAAGTCAAGGTTACAAACTCTTAACAGCTGTACACATGGAAAGAAAGTCAAAAACACAATACTATATCATTCTTCTAAAGACTGATTCCCCTATATTTAGGGCCTAGATGACCCCCTAGGTCATGGGCAGACGCCTATGAGTCTGCCAGTTGTCCTCCTCTCAGCCCAATATGGCCCTGTGGACCTCTTGTCACCCATACATCTTAAGCTTAGGCCCCAAACCCATCTCTCACTGTGACTACACAGCAGTTCTAAGAAAACACATGCACTATGTAATGTTTCATAAGCACAAGATTATGTAAAAAGCAATATGTGGCGAGGGGGGCGTGGTTCAGTGAGGTCTGCACCGGGAGAGAGAGGCAGGAGACGAGCGGTGCGTAAGTAGGTCAAGCGCAAATGATAATCACCTGTGTCTCGTTTCAGTAATTGGTGTGGAGAGACCGGATAAAAGGGGCCACCTGGAGCATGGAAGGCAGAGAGAGACTGACTGGGAACGTGAGCCACCCGGGGAAACCGGGCTACTGGAGCAAAGCATATATAGAGCTATATTCTGAGTTATTGACGGAGAGTTTGAATGCGCAGTGAGCGCCTTGTTCTGTTGTATTTACTGAGAGAATTTAATAAACACTCACGTCCCAGTCCGCCGACCCTGTCTTCTTCCTTCCTCACTCTTGAACCATATCACACTGGTGCCGAATCCCGGGAAGGAAGAAGAACGCCAACACCGGCATGCAGTCCCCGTCAGGATCGCCATTTGCGGAGGTCATCCAATCGCTCGCGGGTCTTCACCAGGAGCACCATCAGGCGCTGCTGGGCTTGAGGGACGACCAGGAGCGGCGGTTCCATGCCCTCATCCAAGCCCAGCAGGAAGACCGCGAGCTGAGACGGGGGCGGTCGCACAGGTAGGAGAAGCTGAGCCGGGACCAAGGGGGACTGAGACAGGGGAACGGAGCGCTGTTGAGAGGAGAACCCTCACAACGTGCGATGATTTTCCCCTGGAGCAGTCCCAGGACGAAACGCTCAAAAATGCTTTTGAACAGGTCCGTTCCATCGATGGGCAGCTTCTCCAACCGGCTCGAACACTCTCCTATCCGTATTTTGCTATTTTAAAAGACCGGTTGTATCGAGTGACCCAAGACACTCAGTCAAAACAAGATACAACCCAATTGTTAGTACCAAAAAGCCATCGGGAAATGCTTTTCCAGGTGGCTCACTGTAATCCGATGGCCGGACATTTGGGGCAAGCAGCAACACTGAATCGTCTAATGACCCGATTTTTCTGGCCGGGCATTCACGAGAACGTGCACAGGTGGTGCGCGTCTTGTCGTGAGTGTCAGCTGGTGAACCCACCGGCCACCCCAAAAGCACCATTGTGCCCTCTCCCTCTTATGCAGGTCCCCTTCAAAAGAATTGGCATGGACCTCATCGGGCCATTAGAACGATCTACACGGGGGCATCGCTTTGCATTAGTCCTAGTGGATTATGCAAGTTCGACGCGTATCCAATGCCGCGGGTTGACGAATTGCTTGATCGGCTGGGTGCTGCTCGATTTTACTCGACACTGGATTTAACGAAGGGATATTGGCAGATCCCCTTATCAGCAATATCCAAAGAAAAGATGGCTTTCACCACGCCGTTTGGATTACACCAATTCGTAACGCTTCCTTTCGGGTTGTTCGGGGCGCCAGCCACCTTTCAGCGGCTCATGGACCGGATCCTCCGGCCGCATGCTGCGTATGCCGCTGCCTATTTGGATGACATTAGCATCTATAGGGCTCCCCGGCCTGAGTCGGGCGGTGGGGGTATGTGGCGAGGGGGGCGTGGTTCAGCGAGGTCTGCACCGGGAGAGAGAGGCAGGAGATGAGCAGTGCGTAAGTAGGTCAAGTGCAAATGATAATCACCTGTGTCTCGTTTCAGTAATTGGTGTGGAGAGACCGGATAAAAGGGGCCACCTGGAGCATGGAAGGCAGAGAGAGACTGACTGGGAACGCGAGCCACCCGGGGAAACCGGGCTACTGGAGCAAAGCATATATAGAGCTATATTCTGAGTTATTGACTGAGAGTTTGAATGCGCAGTGAGCGCCTTGTTCTGTTGTATTTACTGAGAGACTTGAATAAACACTCGCGTCCCAGTCCGCCGACCCTGTCTTCTTCCTTCCTCCCTCTTGAACCATATCACACAACACAAATGATTTTTTCTACTACAATAACCAACATCTTTATAGTGTCATCTCAAATCTACACTCAAACCAAAGCCACTTAAAACCAAATGTCCACCGGTTCAAATTGTTTTAACAGTGACTTCTGAATGAATCCACTCGTCAGTCATAAATTTTCATTCGATTTTCCTGTTGCACAATATCCTACATCTGGCTCAAATGTTGTGAGAGTATAACGTGTGACAACAAACAAAAGTGCTTATTTAAACTCCAAGGAACTCTGAGTTTCCTGTGTTTATACATATAAATTTCAATTTCAAGGTCACCCACATGACTTCATGAAAACGAAGGACCTTTTCACAACAGCATTTGGAGCGCACTGACCAGCCAAACATTTCATAAGCCAGAAAATGAGTTAAAGTGTCTATGGCGTGTGCTCAGGTCAGTAAATGCAGTGCATGTCCATCTCCTCATTGCTGAAGAGGGTCCTCGAGGTCACATCTCTCACCCTGATACCCACTAAAACATTGGCACTGGAAGTCTTCGCTCATCCGCTGCTGCTCTTCCACGCTCAGATCTCCCTTCACACGCAGTTCGCTCCCCTGGCCTACTATCGTGTGTGTCTGTGGGTCAAGATAGAGATACGTGTCAGTGTCCGTGTCCGGATGTCTGCGCAGACATCGGCCGTGGGAGCTGCACAGGAAGCAACTGCAATGCTCAGCTGCCGTGGAAACGTTGAGGAGGTAAAGGCCCAGTGGACCCCGCAAGTACTGGTTTAAACTGGAACAAGTGTCCTGAATGATGAAACAGATAAAGAGAAGGAAATTACGTCAGGTAAAAACTAGAGTTTTACATTTTTTCAAGAAATTGGAAGTGGATGGCAGGCTGTTGCTAGGGTGTTGTAAGCACTTTATTGTGTTGCTATGTATTTGCTAGGGTGTTTTAGGTGGTTTCCAGGGCATTGCTAACGTATTGCAGGCATTTAGTGTCTTACTATGCAGTTGCTAGGGTGTTGTAGGCACTTTAGTGTGTTGCTATGCAGTTGCTAGGGTGTTGTAGACATTTTAGTGTGCTGTGATGAAGTTACTAGGGTGTTGTGGGTGGTTTCCAGGGCATTGCTAACGTATTGCAGGCATTTTAGTGTGTTACTATGCAGTTGCTAGAGTGTTGTAGGCACTTTAGTATGTTACTATGTAGTTGCTAAGGTGTTCAGGTGTTTTTAAAATGCCTGACATTGTCGTTATAAATGGAACAACTGTTTTTTTCAGACGTTATTTATAGGGTCAAAAACTAAGATGACGTTTTGATAGATTGTAAAGTTAATTGTTGTGATCGTTATAACAGTATAGCAGATACTTACATAATGCATGTAAATATAAGCGGTCACTTAATATCTCCCAAAAATATGTCTTAGTAAGATGATATTTAAATGCTTAGTTTTATGATCAAAGCTCTGTGGTTTTAAAACATATTGCAGTAAAATACAATGATTGAGAGATGAACAAATAAACTTTCATCAAATGCCTGATGATCATATTTGATACTTCCATTTTAACATGATTTTTATAGAAAATGATGTATGGATAATCAAGTAAAGCTAAGTTGCTTCAGTCCAGTAAATGTTCATCTTGAAATATTACTAACAAGATAAAAGTCATTCTTACATTTACTCTATAAATATCAGTAAAGATTTCACAGCAAACAGACACATGAACCATGAGCTGAAGGCGGACGTTTTTAACTTATGCACCAAGAGCTTGTAACACTCCAAAGAGAAAGGATAAATTGAAATCGCATCATATGACCCCTTTAAACTAAAAACTTGCTACAAAAAATATTAACTATCAAATTAGAAGACAGAAGGAATGTAGTAGATTGTGTATAACAGGTTATTCAGCAAAGTTTTGATCATGCTGATCATTTAGAGGCCTTAGAAATTTGTGCATCAAATATGAAATTGACACTTAAGACTGGTTTTGTGGTCCAGGGTCACATATATGATACAGTAGGCTTTATAGGGTTAACATGATCAATAGAAGCACCACTAGCAAAATATTAATTAGTTTTAGCACTAGCATCAATAGAAACCTCTTAACAAGCACTATTTATGATTGAAATCAGATATAATCTGGTGTGTGAGTGCTTACATTGCTGCTGGCATAAGCAGCATCACCCCAGAGAACGATACCTGCTGCACCCAGAGCCACACTTTCTCCGATGGTGGACTCCAAATCCATCTGCGCAGACACAAATAATGGAATCAGTGATTGGTTCTTGATTTTTTTTTTTTACATATAAGAGTTAATTTAGCTCATTTTGAAAGCTATGTGTTAAGGTCACAAATATTGAATGTGGACAATTTTGTAACAGCAACTTAAAACAGTGGAAATAACGTAGGAAATGAGCTGGTGTGGTGTGGTGGGTGGTGGCACCCTTCCTGTTCTCCTGCACACACAAACAGAGATAAAGAGCAGAGATGATGGTTATGCAGGAAAAGTTTTGTGATAAACCACACAAAGACCATACAAAATACACTCGCTTTAATCTTCATTAAAATTGCAGGGCCTGTCAGGATGGTTGAATAATGTTATGAACGCACCGCAGAATCACATTTCTGGATGAATCATATAACCTTAAAATCTTCATGAATATATCTTGTTTTAAAGATGTTTTTTTTTCTTTTCCTGGGCATTAAACACAGTTATGCATGTATTATCCACAATAGAAGACTTATCTGAACAAACAGACTGGAGAGTCACTGGCAGTTGAATGAAATATTTCATCCTTTAAGGTCAACCTTAATTTCCGCACATTCTGTTACATGTCAGTTTAGCTGCGGGTCATATGGAGCGATTTACATAATGTGATTGTCTATTTGCTAGGTTGCCATGATTTTGCCAAGTAAGACATGTTCCTTGATCAACATCTTTTGTTGATCCTGGATCAACATTACTGCCCAAAAATATAGACTAAATCCAATCCCTACCCCTAAACCTAACCCTACCCATAATTTATTCCTAAAATCAGTGTGAAATGATAGCTGATTAACAAGGTTGTAGAAGCACCTAACCCTGATCATAAGCCTAAAACAGATATTTCCTGAAAAGTTATCCCTCAATTCTGATTGGTTAATTGGAATGTTGTACTTAGTGAAATCACGGTCACCCTATTTGCTAAGCCCTGCCTTACAAATGTTACAAGGCTCTGCTACCCTAGCAACCGTTGCCATCCACAACACTCAGACAAGCTTTTGCTGTAAATCTATGGAGAATCTGTGTCTTTGGATAGCTTTAAATGTACTTTCACAGAAATGATCCAAAACGGTGGTAAAATCTTGTTCCCATACACTTTTACAAATCTTTGAGCATCAGTGGACCTTTAGAACAAACCGGATGCCATTCCTCCCAGTCGATCACGGCCAGGCCTCGCGCCGACGGGTCGCGAATGTACTTCGCGATCCCCTCCGGCATCTTCTCTAGGTGGTGCGTGAGGCTGGAGATCTGCGGTAGTCCACCATTGATGGCCACACCGGCCTCAAAGCATGGATACAGGCCCAGGCAGTCTTTGTAGAATATGGTGAGGTTCTGCTTGGTGAAGCCTTCATTCGGAGAGGCCACGATCTGAAATTGATCGAGCTGGAAGTGGACGTTGTGCCGAGGACTGCAGTCTTCTGTTGGGGCATTCCAGACCAGAACCACAGGCTTCTGAGGGTAAAGAGGCCATCTGGTGGGCTTCATATCTTCAGCAAGAGCGAGATGATCCAGAGCCAGTGGAACCAACAACCAGATTCTCCAACGAAGCTGGATCCAGTAAGCCATGACTTCAGTCACTCACAACACGGGCCTTCACTTCTGCTGGAATAAAAAGCCACATTCTTCATTATAATGCATTATGATCATAATTTTGATACCTGATATATTTCTGGTTTCAGTGTTCATTTAAAAAGGAAACAAGGCACAAATCTTCCATGAAGGAAACATAATGACTTCACTGGAAACTGAAGCAAATGTAATACGACAATTTAACAGAGTAGATTTCTTCGGGTTTAAATCAATAACATTATGGAGCACTTGGAGAAAATAACTCATCTTTGACATTAAAAATAAGCGTCATTCCCACATAAATAAATAAATGATATTATTACTTGGAAGTGAGTTATTATTTGAAATAAAGTTGGTTAATATTATAAAATTATACAATAATAAAATTTAAAAATTAAAGTGTTATCGTGGCACCAATGTAGTGCCATGGAACGTTTTTTGAGTGTAAAAGTGTTTAAAACGCATAAAAACCAACATCATCCAGTTGACATTCTCCATAGTGCAACAATCAGGAAAACAAAATAACTTTTTCATGAAATATCTCAACTTTGACATTAATAAATCAAAGATATTTTGACTTGGAGGTGAGTTTTTATTTGAAATAAAGTTGGTTAATATTATATAATTACATAACAAATATCTCAGTGTTACGGTTATTCCCCACTTATTGAATTAATATGAAATATTATCAAATTAAATAAATATTTAACATAAGTGAATTGTAATAATACATAATATTAATACAATTAAAACCATCAGTGCACAATTTTCCACACCACAATCTGTCAAGCACATCTTACCAGCAAACATATACTCGTTCACATCCTTCTCTTCACTCTCTGAGGCAGAATTAACACATCCCTTCACACTGGTGTTTTTCTCTCAGCATTTAGACAGCCTCGTATAACCCCACTACTTAAGAAACCCTCCCTTAACCCATCTCTTTTAGAGAGCTACAGACCGGTTTCCCTTCTTCCTTTCATTGCAAACACACTTGAATGAGCTGTGTTCAACCAAGTATCTGCCTTTCTCACACAAAACAACCTCCTCGACAGCAACCAGTCTGGTTTCAGAAGTGGACATTCAACCGAGACTGCCTTGCTCTCAGTTGCTGAAGCCCTAAGACTGGCAAGAGCAGATTCCAAATCTTCCTTCCGGCTTAGGGTTTGGCTTAGCATGTAATTATGCATAATGGCATCACTAGGTTCTGTCATTCAGAAACATGGCTTTTCATATCACTGCTGATGACACTCAACTCTACCTCTCATGACACTCAACTCAACTGCTTGTTTTTCTTAAAAAAAAATAACACTTGCTTCTCTAATCTTTTTGCATTCTATCTATTTGTTTTCTTTTTATTTATTATACAATTATAATTCTGACTTTCTGACTTCTGACTAACAAAAGCAAAAAAGGCCTTTAACACTAGCTTGCTCTATTCTTTTTCTATTCTATCTGTTTTATTTTTTATTTATTATATGATTTTAAAAAAGACCTGCATTAAGCTAACTGATACTTGTTATAGCACTTGCATATCATTGCTCTTTTGTTGATTTTGATTGCTTCCATTGTCCTCATTTGTAAGTCGCTTTGGATAAAAGCATCTGCTAAATGTCTAAATGTAAATGTAAAATGTAAATGCAATGTTATTGTATTATGCAAATAAATATTTGCAGGGAGAACTAATATAAACTAAATGTTTTTAAGGAAATGTTAAATGCTACTTTTATGTAACATTGTTTTAAGCAACACTTTTACACAATCATACACTTCATAGAAAGACGCATGATGATATTCCAGCTGAAGGCATGTGACATGATCTTACTGACCCATAGGACAGAAAAATTGGGATTAAATGAAGAGCAAATGAAAAGTTTTGCTCAAGTCTCCAGATGTTTTTCAGATAAATCTCAGACAATGCTCAGATTTATCAAGATACAGTCTTGACTTTTAATCTGCAATCAAAAGTCATAGATCTCAATAAGTCAAATATTTCTCATCTAAGACCAAATTTTCTGAGCCAGCTTTCCACACAAATCTTAAAACTCCATATTCTTACTTTATGTTGACATTGACACATTCATGTCTATTTCAACTTTTTCTACGGATGATGTTTAAATAAAACGTAGCTGAGAATTAAAGATCAATTAATAAAATGGAGCACCATGGTACTGAAATTCATGTATAACGGTATTTACATGCTACTTCAAAGATCATCGTGGTAGTCCCATGGTACTTTTATCAATAGTGTTTAAAACGATTAAAAACCAACATTAGCATGTTCACATCATTCACAGAGCAACAAAACAACTTTTTCTTGGAAACAACTCACCTTTGACATTAAAAATAACAGTCATTCCCAGATAAATAACTCCATCCTTGCGATGTAAATCATTGCTGTTATCACCAGTGTTGCCAACTAATTTTCAGGGGAAGCTGCTAAAGGAAAGTCGATTTGCTGCTAACAGTTGCTAAATGATGTTGCGATGTCATTGCGCGATGACATCATTACGTAATTAGGACGCAAAATGTGTCACTACGTCAAATCTCAGCAAAAAATATATTTAATATGTTAATTTAGATTTGTTCGTAAAATAATATAAATACATTATATAATAACAAAATATAAATAACTGTATTTTTAAATACAACATTGAATTATTGAACACTTACACATTTTTAAACCATTACAATTATTTATTTTTTTATTAGCTAATAAAACTACACATTCTGAACAATTATAGTTTTAAGCAGTGTATTAGTAGTTAGTTAGCATGCTACACTCTTAAGAAAAGTCTGTAAAAATAGGGCACAATCTACTATGTTAATATGAAGGAATTTTCCGTATTGATTTTTCAAGGGTTTTTTACCTGCATTTTAAATTACCCATTGTATTTTGTGTTTTCGGGTTACAGGGTTACAACACATAATGTCCTGAAAAATTACTTGTACCTTTTCCATTTTTCTCAGTATTTTTCTTACAGTGTACTATCTGATCAACAATCTACAAGCTAAGGTGTATCATAAATTAACAATTATTCAATTATTATTATTAAATTGAACAATTGCAAATAGCAGCTAACTTAATTCACGTGATGTGTGTACTGCTAGGCATCTTTGGTTTCCTCATTTTGTGTAATTTAGATGGAAATTGTGTGCCTTTTTATCGTTTGAGTCACTTATCAAAAGTTGCTAAAAACTGCCAAATAAATTTTGAAAATAGCTACATATTTTGCTAAGGTGCTTTTGGAAGAAAATGTTGCTAGGGTAGTGTGAAAAGTTGCTAAATTTAGCACCAAAATGGCTAAATTGGCAACACTGGTTATCACACCACATCGCCTGTTGCTGCCTCCTACAGAGAGACTTTCGCGAGTTTTCCTCCTTTCATAAAGACTGGAGATCAGGCGGAGTGATGTCGCGTGAGGTCTGATCTGTCAATCTTCTCACGTTCTTAATCTGAGGGTGTTTTCACACAGCGCGGTAAAGTTAGTTTTAGGTTTGATATTCGCTGGATATTCGCCTAGGCTGCTTTAGGGACCGTCTGCAAATTTACCTCTCAGTACAAAACGTAGTCCAATAAATAATACAAATTATGTTTACAACGCGATAGTAAATGCCTTGTTGGCAAACTGACAGGAAATATTTAACCAATATGTCGCCATAGACAATATCTCCCTTACTGTATGTACAGTACACAACTATTTTCTTTAAAAAATTACTATAATTCACCAAAAGTTTTTTTTTTTAATGTTCCAAAGGTTGTAGTATATTCCTAGTGGCCAGACTGGCTTACTACAGGTGAAAGTTTGCCAATATCACCCTTACTGTACATACAGTACATAATTAATCTTCAAAAACCATTACTGTAATTGACCAAAAGGGTTTTTTCATGTTCCAAAGGCTGTAGTACATTTGTAGTTATGAGACGGACTTACTACAAATGAGATTTTGCCAATATCTTCCCTACTGTACATACAGTACATAATTCATCTTAGAAAAAAATTACTGTAATTCACAAAAAAAAAATGTTCATGTTCCAAAGGCTGTAGTACGTTTGTAGTTACAAGACAGATTTACAGGTGAAATTTTGCCAATGTCTTTCTTACTGTACGTACAGTACATAATTATTCTTAAAAAGAGTTACAAGACTGATTTACTACAGGTGAAATTTTGCCAATATCTCCCTTACTGTACATACAGTGTATAATTATTCTTAGAAAACAATTACTGTAATTCACCATGAGGGGTTTTTTATGTTCCAAATGCTGTGGTACGTTTATAGTTACAAGACTGACTTACTACAGGTGAAATTTTGGCAATTTCTTTCTTACTGTACGTACAGTACATAATTATTTTTAGAAAACAATTACTGTAATTCACCAAAAGTGTTTTTTCATGTTCCAAGGGCTGTAGTACATTCCTAGTGGCCAGACTGACTTACTACAGGTGAAATTTTGCCAATATCTCCCTTATTGTACATACAGTACATAATTATTATTAGAAAAAAAATACTGTAATTCACCAAAAGTGTTTTTCATGTTCCAAAGGCTGTAGTACATTCCTAGTGGCCAGACTGACTTACTACAGCTGACATTTTGCCAATTTCTTTCTTAAGGTACGTACAATACATAATTATTCTTAGATAACAATTACTGAAATTCACCAAAAGTGTTTTTTTTTTAATGTTCCAAAGGTTGCAGTACGTCTGTAGTGACCAGACTGACTTACTACAGGTGAAATTTTCACAATAACACCCTTACTGTATGTACAGCACACAAATATTTTCATTCAAAACTAATTCACCAAAAGCTTTTTTTTGTTTTATTCATGTTCTAAAGGTTGTAGTACGCTCCTAGTGGCCTTGGATTCTACATCAGATTATTCATATTCATATTCATATTCATATTTATTTATTTATTTATTTATTTATGTGTGTGTGTACTGGTATATATGGTTTATGAGGACACAAATGTGTATAATGTCCATCATATCTGATAGATTTCGTGATCTTTTAAAAGTGAATAATGGGCGATATTGAAATTTCTCATTTAGAGATTCATCAGACGATAATATGTACCAATGTTTATGAATAATTGATTTTATTATATTACTATGCTCATTGTATGTCAAGGAACAATTTACAGAAAATTTTCTTTGTTTTTTAATGGGCTTTTTTTTTTTTTTTTAGAATTTTTTGTTTGAGAGAGATTTCTATTTGCACACACACACACACACACACACACACACACATACTTGCCTTTGTGGTTTACGGGGACTCTCCATAGGTGTAATAGTTTTTATACTTTTTTTAAGCCTTTTGTTTTACAGGGACACAGGAAGTGTCCTCATAAACCATGTTTATGTTGTAGTACCCATGACATTATACACATTTGTGTCCTCATAAACCATATATATACCAACACACACACACACACACACACACACACACACACACAAATAAATAAATAAATATGAATATGAATAATCTGCTGTAGAATCCAAGGCCACTAGGAACATACTACAACCTTTAGAACATGAAAAAAAAAAAAAAGATTTTGGTGAATTAGTTTTTAATTAAAATATTTGTGCGCTGTACATACAGTAAGGGTGTTATTGTGATTTCGCCGTTTCATTTATTTGGTGCAGGGGGCGTGGCTTTATTCACCACCGTTTCCGTTTAAAAAACATTTTGCACCGTTTTTGTCGGGGCTGAACGCAGCTCAGCTCACTGGGGAGTGTTTTCCTTTATGCAAATGAGTATGAAGTGTTCACTGCGGGTGCAAAAAATATTATACATGCACATTTTTATTCAAATCTAAATATTAAACAGTATACAATTATGTATAAAATAACAAAACGGCAAAACAACTACAAAAATAATCTAAAAAAGAAAGATTTATTAACATTATACGTGCACTTTCTTTCAGTAAAAGTTGTAATAAATCAGTTCAAAAGGGAAATATTTATGAATCGAAGTTACTTGAAGATAAAAACTGCCGGAGAATCAAACTCAAGGGGAGAGTCTTGAGGAGTCTTAGTGGGTGTCGTCTCAAAAGAAGAGGTTTTCTGAGCCAAGATCATTTCGAGGAATTCGAGCTAATGACTTTTGAGGGCTTCTATTCACACCCGCCTTTGGGTGGAATAGCCAATACCAGGCATGAATTTGTGAGTGGGAGAAGTTTCCTTTGTCTCCCTTTATGGCCCATTTGCATGTTTCTGGCCGGTCTGGAATATTGGTGCAGTTTTAACCCAAACACAAGTCATTTACTTGTCTTTGGAAACTGTTTGAAGTCAGTTGGGGAGATGATAGTGGTAGACTGCTTAGCATCTCCTTGATAGTGGGGAGAATTATTTGGCAATTTAGCACCCATATAAATGTATAGTCTGTGGCCAGGACTGCAATTTATATGCAAATGTCAAAGGCTAAAAGGGGTCTCTTAAGCCATAAACCCCAAAGACCATCCATGATTTTACGCAGACGCTACAAAGTTTTTTTTAATGAATTTAAAAAAAAAGTGAAAAAAAAGAAAGCAATGAAGAAAGAATGAAAATGATAACAAGGTAATGATCCTAAAAACTTTTTTTTTATTTTTTTTAAATAAAGGCCCAATTGCCCAAAAATAAGTGATTTACCGTTCAGGCTAGTTTGGTTTCATTTATTTATTTTACTAGAATTTTATTTTATTTTTTTCAATTTTTCTACCGTCATATGAATGTAATGTATGAATGTAAGGTTAAATTAGGCTAATTGTATTAGGTATTAGGTTTGGTCTATAAAACTGTGTGAGCAATAATAGTATGGATTCATTGAAACTCTTCTGATGTTTGAGGATGCACATAATGGATATGAAATCAGAGTAGCATCAACAGGTGGTTCCTTTCTGACAATGACCTGCAGAGATCCTGTTCCGCCGTTTCTGCATATTCTGCTAACTCATGTGTCGCCTCTGTCAGTGTGGGTGTGTGTTCATGAACGAGAGAGGTCCACTTCCTTCCTCGGGCCTTTTCCTTTCCTCCCCATTCTTGGGGTTTTACATCACCGTTTCTTCCAACTAGGCAGCGCCAGGAAGCTTTAACAATATGAGAGGAACTGGACAAAAAAACACACCCATCACGCCCGCCTCCCAAAAATGACAAACTCACATCCTTGAGCACTAGGAGAGATCAGAGACAGCGGTTCCCCTGTTTTATCACTCCATCTCTACTCCTATAAGACACCATGGTAAAGGTCAAAGGTCATCCGGCAGCTTTATTTGTTGAAAAATGATTTTATTTAGAATTTAGGTAAGATCTTCATATAACTGGCAAAAACTGAGGAATAGCTCTATCATGTACCAAGGACATTAAACATGTCTCTTATATAAGTAAACCAAATGTACCCTTAAAGCATAAATAAATTTCCTTTTACAGTTCTTTTAACAGTACTTTCACACATGCACAAGCCCGAGGGCCCCTGTAACCTCCACATGTCTCATCAAGCATTCTCTCATAAACCCTCCAAGCGTTTATTCTCTTATCAGTGTCAGTGATTGTGCGCAGACATGCCATCCTGTCTGAGCTTCCTGTATTTCATTCACGTGGGTGGGACAAACATTCCCAGTGAAGTCATTTACATCAAGACAGATGTCCGTTTCTAATGAAACATACCTTTGAGGGCCTGGCCGGCTCTGATAATGCGTCTATCGTATGTCGATGGAGATCAAGCCACCGTACAGGAGTGAAAGCCTCCCAGCGGTAAACTTCAAAGAAAGCGAGGAAATATTGAAAACAGCTTAACCTCTGGCATTTCATAATATACCACACCCAGATCTCCGTTGCCAGGCGAACTACAGAACCGACAGCCAACATAAACTAAATATGGGAGAAGAACTGCGTTTTCAATCCACAACAAAGAGAAAAAGTGTCCAAAAGAAATTATAAAAAACTGACTAATTTATTAGACAATTATTTTAAAAATCTGTTTCTATTGTATTACAACTTCTTTGCGTTGACCCAATAGTGAAATTCCGAAAATTATTATCTCAAGGACAAAAACTGATAAATAGCATAGATTCTATACTATTAAATTAATTAATAATGACTATAAATAATTATTATTATGAATGTCCATAATTTATATAATAAATAATAATAATAAATTAAAAACTTGTGAATTTTCAGGGTAGCAATTTAAAATCACACATGCACAAAAAACATGTTCATTACTTGAAAATAAAATAATAAAATAGATATTTTAAAAACTTATTTTATTTCAGCTTCAACATATCTCATTTTGTTTAGTGCAAGTTAGTTTACTATATAGACATTAAAACACTAATAAAAATGACAAAAACACAACAAAAGTACTAAAACTTTAACTAAAATGAAAGTGAAAACAGAAAATATATAAACAAAATCTAATTAAAAATATGATCAAAAACTGTAATGATACATCAGTGATACTAAAATACCAATAGTCACAACATTATAATGTACTGTTTGAAAAATAGATATTTATTTTGAAATTTGCTAAAGATTATATTTAACAGTGTTAAATATTCACAATTAAATATCCAATATCAGCTTATACAGCTGTATTCAATTATTCTAATATCGACTAATAACTGATATGGTGCCGACAAATTGTAAATCATTTAATAAACATCCTCAGTCTCCAATTTCCTTTTAGCACTGTCTTTTCTCACTGAATATTTAGTTTCACTTTATGGACTGTGACTTTAATTTCATGTTATTATAAACATTTACATTGAGTTACATAATTACTACAATGTAATCTGCTAAACACTTTTATTCAAGTATATCAATTCATAATTTACTGTACAATAAATGAGAAAAAAGTGCAGATGTGGGTTGCAACCCAAAAAACAGAGTCAGACTTTGATATAACAGAATATTAGAATATATGACATTAAACACACGAGTGATTTATGTACAATCCCTGCATTGCTTTAGGCTCCATGCTTACACGCTCTCACTGCACATGCATTCCTTACTGTACATCACAGAAGACAAGACATCGTATGTCTGCTGTCTATACACAAATCAGAAAATATGATTCATGTTTTTGGTCAAGTGAAGGGCAGAATGCCCTCGCTGTCGTAACAGAGAGCCACAGCATCCTTTCAGAAGAACACCGAAGGTGGAAGGAAGTCTTGAGTGATTGTGACGCTCCTAGAGTCATGACACTTCCCACAGAGTCTGTGTGCTTATATTTCACACAGGATGACAGGGAAGTCAGCGTGGATTCGTGGGTGATCCAACTGAATGACTCCCTGTAGAAATGAAATTTTAAAAATACTGTAAAAAATTTTAATATAAAAAACAGAGCTATAAAACTCAATTATGTGATTTAAGGTAAGTGAAATGTTTACATAAGACACCATGAACGAACAAACAAACAAAAAAAAGATGTGTTGAGAAAGGAGACCAGGATCAAACGTCAAACAAACAAACAATTAAATAAATAAATAGAAAAATAAATAAATAAATGTTTAACCATGAATGAATGAAGGTAAATTAAATATTTAGATGAGAGACAATGAATGAATGAATATTAAATAAGTAAATGTTTAACCTTAAATAAATAAATAAATGTTTAAATAAGAGACCAATAAATAAAGAAAAAAAAAAATAAATAAGCTTGTAGTCAATAGTTTTTTAGGCTATGTTTTTTTTTTTTTTTTTTAGCAGATACACATTTTAAAAAAATTTGGTATCTTTCTATTATGGAAAAACTGACCAAAATATTTCATAATAAATTATATGCTACTAAAAAAATCAAGTAGCAAATCATAGGTTTTCCAGGCTGTGATGTAAATTAAAAAAGGATAAGCCCTTGAATAAATCCAATCTAACATTGTCTTTAAGATTAATTTTAAAGTTTAATCATCATAATTTGTAATTATTCTGTTTACATTTCACATGATGTCTTGAGCTGATCCTGTTGATTTACACTAAATATTTCTCTGTAACTGACTGGATCAGTATCTCTCACCTGAGGTATAAGGTTTTTCTGGATTCTCTTCAGTTTAGCTTTCTTTCTGCCGTTCTTGGTCACCACAGTCTCCTCATAAAATTCATGAGCCAGATCTCCATCTTCATCGAAATACAAGGAACTGCAACAACAAACAGCAGCTGGATGAATGCAGGTCTCACTTCACCCAAAAAACAAGAACTTATTAAGAATTTAAAATGTGAAGTCTTTATTTATTATTTTATTTAATTTATTATCATTAAATTAAATATTGATTTATGATTCTGGCATAATTAAAATTGAGCACACTTTCCTGCAAACTACTGAAAAATGACCGTTTTGTTGTTTGATGAATGGTGACAGTTAGATTTGAGTTACATTATTAAGAATGAAGCAAAGAATGTGTCTTTCTAGAAACAAAATATAGCTTCTTATTACCTTTTCATGGTTTTGAGGTGAAATGTGACATGTTCCTGACAGATCATCCAGGTCAAAAGCCTGCAAGATCACAGTTTTTAATGTTTACCTTCTCCTTGTAAAGACAAATGGTGTTGTGTTCTTGGAGCCTCGTAGACGTGCTAAACACTGTTCGTTGACCTCACCGGGAGCTTCTCCTCCAGCTCCTGAGCTGCTAAAAGGCCAGACTCCTTTGGTTTTGGATCCGCTGCCTCCCATTTTTATTGACAACGCATTACTGTAGAGGCGGAGCGTCGGTTCAGTCCTGAAAAATGACAATGTTATTTGAGAGCATATTACAGACTTCTCAGGCAACATATGTTAATGCAACTGGGCATGTGTGGCTTGTGGTGTGGCTTCAAAGCACTGCTGTGGCTGAACTAGCTCTCTGAACTCTGAGCAAGAACCTGTGGTCAGGTCTTTTTATAGTCTGTAATACCTGGAGGCAAGGTCCAAAATGAACACTCACCAAGCACTAGATGCCAGTAAAAACTGGCTTTGGTGGATGGTAACTTTTATAGAAAATGCAACATACCACCTGAAATGTGTAGTTTTCTTTTCGGGGCTAAAATAAATAAATAAACAAATCAATAATAATTATTAAAAAAACTGAATCTGCATAATTTAAAAGCAAACAGAAAGGTTATTTGTGACAGGTCTGCTTAAAATGGTCCAACGATTATGTGACAAAAATAAAGATTTGAGAATTACTGTATATTGATCACTACACCAATGTAAAGAAGGCAAAGCTATCCATCTGTCTATCAAATCTATCTGAATATTAATTAGTCATTAATCAAGTATTTTACGTACACATATGTTGTGTATATTTGACCATTTTAGTAAAAACACCAGCATTCTCAACAGTCTCTAAACACACAGATCCGCTGGTTAAAACTGTAATCCCAGTTAGTTAGCAGGCTAGCTGATTATGCCTGAAGAGCGTCACTTTAACAACCCGTATTCTCACAACTAACCACTATTTTACAAGTCTTTGAAATCCAATACATTTGCAGTACGAATGCACGTATTTTTTCTCAAAATGTTACTGACTCGCACTAATAAGGCTGAATGTTATTGAATTGTTTGCAATGTAAACAAGCCATAAGCCATTCACAGCCATTCAACACACAACAAAACACGACTATCAGGCGTTTCAGTTCATCGGTTCGGTTCGGTTTCATTCCAGAAGACATTCAAATAAAAGATCATGTGAAACGCATACATACAGATCATGTACATCTCATTGTTTTGGTTCTTCTAGTCTGCTTTCTTCAAGCACTATGACGTAGCTTCATAACGTCACATTTACGCGCCCAGTCACGGAAACTAGACACAAACCAGAGCCCCTTGCTGCAGTCACGTATTATTATTTCTTTCTTTTTCTTTTTCTTTTTCTTTTCCTTTTCTTTTCTTTTTTCTTTTATAAAATTTAATAATATTACAATTATATTTTTATATTATATGATCTATCTATCTATCTATCTATCTATCTATCTATCTATCTATCTATCTATCTATCTGTCTGTCTGTCTATCTATCTATCTATCTATCTATCTATCATCTATCTATCTATGATCTATCTATCTATCTATCTATCTATCTATCTATCTATCTATCTATCTATCTATCTGTCTGTCTGTCTGTCTGTCTGTCTGTCTATATCTATCTATCATCTAGGCATATGTATTTTATTTCATTATTTATTTATTGTGAAGCCATTTGTATATTATATTACATCATATTATACTATATTTTTAAAGAAGCTTGACGACTAATTTAGTTTTTATTTATATTAAATGTAAAAGTTATTGGTTATTATTAATTTTTCATCATTATTCATCTATCATCTAGTTAATTTAATTAATTATTTATATATTATTTATATGTTTATATATTATATATATTATTTATTTTAGTATGAAGCTATTTGTATAGCATATTATATTTTATTATATTATTTAAATAAGCTTGAAGATTTATTTATGTATTTTATTTATTTTAAAATGTATTGATTTTGTACTTGGCGCCAGTAACTTGTCACAGCCATCATATGCAGCATATGGCTCGTGAGATCCGCCTCTCTTCCCATCAACCTGCGGCTCAGCCTGCTTTTCCATTGGCCTTTTATTCCACTGACAGGCGGCTATTCCTGAACTCGCTTTAATCGCATCTATTCCGCATCTCCCGCGATACGATCGGAAGCGACAGAGTTAATTCCGCTCTTTTCCACACGCAGACGTCTGTTTAGCTCGGAGTTAGACCGTGGTTTATTGGTAGACGGTCGGTTGCGCTCTAATTCAATCAGCAGAGATCGTGCGGGAGGTGGGGCCACCGAACAGAACAGCGCGCATCACACCATTATTTTACTGTAAGTGCATGTAAGTGAAGGTTTCGTTCTGTTTTAAATGGTTGCACGAGGGCTGTAACGCTCATTTGCACGTCCGTCTCAAAGTGCAGCGCGCACTATATGGCTTCCATACAGATTTATCGTTGCATAACCTACTGAGCGACTCGTCTGTGCATCAACACCATTTACCAAAGTAACCAGAAGGGTTACAGACATGAATGCAGTTATTAAACCTTATGAGACTGACTGTGCATTTTTTAATGTACCAGGGACCCTCAATGCTGTGTGCATAAAATGATCACAGTATATCTTCCTTTTAAACTTAATCAGTTGACTTAAGTCAACTAGACTAGACTTAAGTAATTGTCATGGACATAATCAGCTAATGCATTCAATGCAACTAATAAACCTCTATTTAAGTCATACTGAGTCCTGTTGGATAAAAGCATCTGCTAAATGTCTAAATGTAAATGTAATATTAGTAGGTAATCAGTTAGGCAATGAATTCAAATTGCATCTCTTTGGATATAAAATCAGCTGTTTAATTAATTTAATTTCTATTTAAACAACCAAGAAACATGAGCGATTCAGAGAAACAAACAGTCTCCCTTAAAGACAAGGATGGAGTGGAGAAAAGGGGACGAGGAAGACCAAGAAAACATCCAAAGGTATAAAATAATACTGTGTTATTAGTGATCAATTATTATAGTGATCAAGTAAACCAGTTTACTTTCTGAGTGAAAAGAAAATAATAATGCATGGGGCTTTTTATTTTTTTCAATGACGCAATTACAGTATAGATGGTATTTTTATATAAATACCCTAAAACCCCAGTTTTGGTAACATTACAATGTTGTATTAAGACAACTTCTTAATAAACATGTTTTCTTCCAGGAATTGAGTGGGTTGCCAGCTGCGAAAAGACCAAGAGGTCGGCCAAAAGGCAGCAAAAACAAAGGCCCATCCAAGAGAGTAAGCCTTCTTTTTATAATTAACTCACACTATGAATAATTAGTCTCTTTGTGTGATTATGGCATAGCCGTTTGCATAGATTTAAATATAGACACTATTTTTCTCACTATTGCCGAGTAGTACAACACTTGTTGTGTTGCAACGGTTTGCAAACACACAGAGACATATGCATTATTAATTATAAGTGTATGCAAGTTTTTCATTGACAGCTCATCCGCCGACCAAATGCAGGTGACCCGCTGTTAGCCACTTAGGCCTGAGCAATGCACTGTCAGCTCCCGCCTCAAGAGTCCTCAATGAACTCAATGCCCCCTCCATCTGCTGTCATGTGCAGAAACAGGCTCCCTCTACTGGTGCTCTTGCCATTCATTGCCACATTGGCCTGTGAAAATGCTTTGAAAAAATAGAAGCGCCCTTGGATTTATCCAATAGTTTAGCATGGGAGGGACTATTGCATAAAACTAAGTGACTGATTTTTTAACACTTGAATAATTGTTTGTTAATTTCGTTTTCTGTGCAATAGAAATCGTTGGCTTCTGGCAGCAAACCGAAGGGAAGAGGTACATATTAAAATAATAGTTTGTGCAAAAACAAGATTTGTGTTCTGTGGAACACTGCTTATTTGAAAAGTTATTTCATGTATTCTTTTTGTTTATTTATTTATTTATGTATTGTGAAGCTATTATATTATATTATATTATATTATATTATATTATATTATATTATATTATATTATATTATTGTTTTTGCATCATATATATTGACTATGGCCAAAAATCTATACTTTATGCAAGTATGCAGATGTGAATGCTTGGCCAATGCATTTAAAAAGCACAGGGTCCTGTTTGAAATTAATTTAACATGCATTTTTGCAGCATCAAGTTTTGTGCATAAAATCCATGGAAGAAAGAAAATCATAAAGCATGAGAGTAAATGTTCAGTAATTGTACACTGCTGGTCAAAATTTTTTAATAATTAAGTGTTTAAAATAAAATAAATAAGTGTTTTTGAAAAAGTCTCTTCTGTTCACCAAGGCTGCATTTATTTGATCACAAATACAGTAAAAGCAGTAACATTGTGAAATATTATTACAATTCAAAACAATAGATTTATATTTTAATATGTATTAAAATGTAATTTACTCCTTTGATGCAAATCTGAATTTTCAGTATTATTACTCCAGTCCTTCAACATTCCTTCAAAAATCATTCCAATTTGCTGATGACCAGTAGTGTATTTTTTGGCGAACTGTCTCTTTAAATTTTATATTTCATTTCAAGTTGCACAGAATTGACATGCAAATTTAAAGGTCAAACTATCTTGCTAAACCTATTTAAAATGGCATTGTAAATGTCGAATATAGCATGCAAGAGAGAAGCTTTGCTTCCATGCATTTCATCCCCAAATGTTTGATTTCGTTCCAAATAGGAAAAGGAAAAACCTCAGGACTCATCTGAGGATGCTGAGGAAGATGATGAAGAGGAGCAGTAACAATCTAACCGGAGCACTACCTCATACCCAAACAAACAAACCAACCGTCTGCTCTCCAACCTGTGAATAACATGGAATGTCATTCACGTCTTTCTACAACCACAAAAGGACAGTAATAGATGTAATATTCTGCATAATACATGAGTTTTATGTCATTAGATCAAATATACTGTAGACACCAGAATCACACTGCATACAAATGTCATGTGTTTCCTGTTACCTTTATTATATATCTATTGGACTGAGGTGCTTTTCTACTTACTCTTTGTTTGTACTGTTTAGTAATTTTTGTGTCCATATTGTAGACTAGATTTAGATCAAGCTATAATTTAGTGTGTAACATCATGGGCTTAATAGTTCTCATAGAATGCATTCATTTTGAATATAGCTGTTTACAGTTTACAGAATAACAGTTTACTATAGGTTTTTTGTTAGTGTATAATACTGTGCAGCCATTAGTGAATATTTGTTTCAAGGCAGGTTCTTATATTTTGTAATCAAATATAAGTTACCCAGGCCAGATGTTGAGGGAGCACATAGATTTAGTTTAAATGAATAGTTCACCCAAAAATGAAAATTTGCTGGAAGTTTACTCACACTCAGGCCACCAAAGATGTCTTCATCAGAACAGATTTGGAGAAATGTAGCATTACATCAGTTGCTCACTGATGGATCCTCTGCAGTGAATGGGTGCCGTCAGAATTGAGAGTCCAAACAGCTGATAAAAACATCACAATAATCCACAAGCAATCCACACCACTCCAGTCCATCAATTAATGTCTTGTGTAGAGAAAAGATGTATGTTTGTAAGAAACAAATCCATCCTTAAGACGTTTTTTAAATGCAAACTTTTTTTCAAACTTCCTCCAGTGAAAAAGTCATCTCATCTGAATCAGGAGAGAAATATGCACAGATCAAGCACCGTTTACAAGCAAAAACAGTCTAAAACAAATATGTTGGTGGATTTTGATGAGAAGGGCAATGGGGGATGGACGTTTTTCACTAGAGGAAGCATTATTGTGGATTTTTTTGCCAAAAGTGACTGTTTGAATTTAAAATGCCTTGATGGATTTTTTTTAAATTTTTTTTTTTTTTACAAACATCCTTCTTTTCACTTCACAAGATGTTAACTGATGGACTGGAGTGGTGTGTATTACTGTAGCTGTTTGGACTCTCATTCTGAAGGCACCCGTTCACTGCAAGTGAGCAAGTGATGAATTACTTAATTTCTCCAAATCTGTTCTGATGAAGAAACAAACTCATCTGCATTGTGGATGGCCCGAGGAAGAGTACATTTTCAGCATATTTTCACTTCTGAATGAACTATTCCTTTAACAGCAGCTTATAATGTGGTGTTTTCCACTAGAATTCCCAGGAATCAGCATTTATGATAATAGCAAAGGTTTGTATTTGGATGTATATGTCTGTGTTTGTTTGTAATTGTCACTATAGAAATTTATGGAAGCATTGTTAAATTTTGAAGCCATCATTGACACCAACCTTGCGGGTACAAATAGCACTTTGAAACTGATTCGCAGAAAACAGACGTCTTTGCTGGTGTATTGTGTTAGAAGACATTCCAGCTTATTGTACTAATTCCTAATTGGGAATGAATTTGGCACAGCACTTTGTGATTCTTAAATGGTTAAAAATAGATGTAAGGATAAAACTAATGGTGAAGAAAGAAATAATGCATCAATTTAAATATTTCCCTAATATAAGCTTTGCTAGAAGTGCTTCTCAGGTGGTTTTGCTTCAGGACGCCATCAAGTGGTGACTCAAGGTACCAAAAAGTAAAAAAAAAAAATCCTTAAAACCAGAACATTGAAATGTATTAATATTATCAATAATATAACATACACAAACCACCTTCTTACAGCATTTCCTTAAAGGACTGTTTGCATTACAGGTATCAGCTCAAGGTTCTCCACACCCAAGTGCTTTTGGAATATTTATTTCTAAATTATTTATTTTAATCATCTAGCTGTGTACATGACAAATCACAACAGTGACAATAAGCTATGGTTCTCAAGGATTCAGATTTGTTTTGTTTTTTTCAGGGTCCCTAAAAAAATAAAATTATACACTCCCTTGAAATCTTGAGTTATCAGATGCATATGTTGAGCAAAAGTGCAATCTAAATTATAGCCCATGTTAATGCTCTTTCAAACAATACTGGACTGTATTTTATGCATTCAAGTCCTCATATCTTCTGAAATATTCACCTCAGGTATTACGGTGTCATGAACAGACAGCAAAAGCCCAAGATAATGTAAATTCCTTCAGCAGTATATTCTTTATTCTGCAGCGATTGTCCGTGTAGCAGTAAATAGCCTACATAGGCATATGGTGTGTGACATTTTATTAATAAAATATTAGTTATAAAATGTGCATTAGATTTATAGAATTTATTTGTATGTAGAGTGTGGTGATCTTAATAAAAATACTTTTTCAAATTGTGGATTTACATATTTTGCAATACTAATTATTACTGTTATATTTTAATATTCTATTTTATTAATATATTAAATGTTATAGGTTGGCATAATAATTTAAAGAAACATGTTACTACTTTAATTTAAATACTAAATAACCTGCAAAGGTCAAATAGATATATTTTGAGAGAGTTTAAACAATTAAAAATATAAACATAAATCCTTATAAGGAGATTTTTATATTTACTTTTTTTAATTGTTGATGAAGTTTTATTTCAACTTCAATTTAAATACTAAATAAAGTGAGGTAATGATATATTTATTTGATAATTTTTAGTATTCGATGAATCTGTATATCTTATAGCTATTTGTCATTGTTAGTGTTGTTTTATTTGAATATTAATTGGTTATAGGGATTTTTTTATAATTTTAATTGAATTACATGTTAGTAGTATTTACATACTAGTATTACTTCACAAACTCCAAGACAAATTACAGTACTGTATATTTTAATTAAATATTTATTTGATTAATATTATGACAATTAGTGTTAATATAACGGTTTAAAGTCATAATAATAACTTAATAAAAATGAATATTGTATATTCTGTAAAATACGGTATTTTTATTCAATACTGATTAGATCAATTTAATAATAACAATTATTGTTAATGTAATTAATAACAGTTAATAAAACAAATTATTATTGATAATAATTATTATACAATGAACGGATTGTTGTGCGGAATTTCATATCCGCAGGCCGTATTCTCTAAAACCAACAACGTTCTTTTTGTCCGTATGCGCTGTGCAGGCTGCGCAGAATGCGTACATCCCGTAGCGGTTTCGATAATGGCGTCTGACTCCGAGATGCGCTCGGCTTTGGAAAAATGAAGCGTAGAAGAGCTTATTTCCAGTGATTGACGCGGGGCTTATTTCCATTCGCGGACCTTGCCTCTCTTGGTTCACGTTCCGATCTCAGTCGCGACGCCCAGCCCGAGATGATGAAGCTCAAGTCGAACCAAACGCGCACCTATGATGGAGACGGGTACAAGAAGCGGGCCGCCTGCCTGTGCTTCAGGAACGAGACCGAGCAGGAGGTGAGTCGCGCCGCCGGGAGAACGCGCGATGCGTGCGTCTCTCAACGCGTCAGCTGGTGGATCTCAAAGCCTTTGGCAGCGCGTTAGCGGCGTGCTATTAGCGGTTAGCCCGGGACTAGTTAGCGGAGTCGGCCTAGCGTTAAACGACGCGACAAGCGCTAATCAACGACGGCGCGACTCGTTAACAGCTTGATTGATTTAGTGAAATCCATCTGATGTGAGCATATGTGCTGAATCTCAAATGAGAGGGTCCATCAAACGCAATAAAGTAACTTACTGTGGTGTATCATGGTACATTCGATGGTAATACTGTGGTAAATTGAGACTACCAGCATTGTGTCCAAAATACCATGGTATTGTTTTGATTTGAGCACCACTAACAAGAAGTACCATGGTATTTTTTTTTTGAAGATATCTGGAAGACCATACCATGGTACAGTGATGGTATAAGCTAATACTATAATGCTTTGAAATATACCATGGTACTGAAATTCATGTGTTTCTTGAATATGGATAACCATTTGGTACTTACAAGAATACCATAGTACTGTCCTACCATTGTACATGTCTGAAATACTTTTTTTATTTTTGAGCACCACTAACAAGAAGTACCATGGTGTTCTTTGGAGATAATTGGATACCATCATTTACAAAAAAGTACTGTGGCAGTACCATGGTACAGTGATGGTATCAGGTAATAGGCCTACTATAGTACTTATATAAATATACCGTGGTAAAGTGTCTTCAATGTGGAAAAACATATGGTATATGGTGCGTCTAAGAAGTAAATGAGAGCACTTTATTACATCGTTTGAAAGCATAAGTAAAATGGGGTTTTCAGTAACCAAAATAATGCCAACATTTATATTATACAATTTTATTCCAGAAAAAGGGCCTCATTTATAAAACACATTTGACCCTAAATGCCATTGGTTTCATCTTACATCAAAAGTGAGGAATGAATGTATTACTATTCATTATAATTTAATTCATAAAGTCAGAAACTGATGTGAAAATGTTTTCATGCATATGCCAACTAAAAAGCATGCAATGCATACAAACTTTTTGCGTTTATATACGAGTAGTAATTAAAATAATTGATTGTAAAACTAATTTATACATTAATATTACTATATGTGAAAAATGAGTTATATTTTAATGGCTTTGTGATTATTACGTCACCGAAATGAATTAAATTGCTTAAATGAGGGGTTTATTAATAGGGATGCATTCAGGAAACCTTTTTCAGATATATAAATTTGATAAATTATTCATGGTAACATTTCAAAAACAGTTCACATTTAAGATCGTTCTGCACATATCTTTAAAAATGAGGCCCCAGATCTTCACAAAAATGCTGAAATTACTACTTTTCTAGCAAATAGTGACTCAAAATGAGTTTTGCCGGGAGATTTTGAACTGACACAAGGGTACGCATCACTTCTGTTGAAGAGCAGTGGCCAATGGCGATTATTTCACAGTGGCCCATTATTAATTACCCAGACCGATATATTGTCCTATCACTGACTTTCAGCCAGTCCACCAGACTGAAAACCTGGAATATGTGTCCACACAGGTGTTATTGGTAAGCAGCAGCAGATACCCAGACAAATGGATCGTACCCGGAGGAGGAATGGAGCCCGAGGAAGAGCCCAGCGTCGCTGCTGCCCGAGAAGTCTGTGAAGAGGTTTGGCTTTCATCTCTAGGATTATGCATGAAATAGATTATCATCATCATGTTTATTATTTATCATGATCAGCTGTCCATTACAAAGACTCTTACGCCATTTGTAGGAGATCTCATAAATTTATCATGCTTTTCAGTAGATATTTCGATGGCTAATACGGTAATGTGGATAAAATATACACACAATTTCCAATTTAAATGCACACTGATTTTTGTACAACATTTACTTAGATTCAAAATCAGTCAATTCTGGCTGTAAAACACGACCAATGGACCTGATCATTTTAATATTGCCAAATATCACCCCGATTAATCAGCTAATGTTAGTCTCTCCCTCCTAACAATAACTGATGTTTTGGCATAGATTTTTGACTCGGTCCGTTGTGCAAACATGGAAACTAGGTTTTCTCTCTGCTGACACTTAACCTATGGGGTTTCTCATAAAGAGAAGTGATAATGTTCCATCAGCTGAGATCCTCCATACGCTCTTACTTTCGCTGGTCATCTGACAGACAGCAAACATGTCGCTCGTTCTGCCGGGATGATCACCTTACAGTTTTAAAGGGCATTACACTCAGATTAAGAGCTGCTCTTCACACCTCCACTGCCAGACAGTAGCCAAGAGCGGCCGTAGACTATAAACGTACCATGACACAATGCCATCAGTGTTTGACAGGACCGCATATGTGAGATTGTCCTGAAGTCTGAGAGCATATCGAAACGTTTTTAGATTTTGAAATCTAAATGTCATGTATGTTACAGTGTTAAAATATTAAGGAATATTCTGCATTTCTATGTGACTAATCAAATGTAAGTAAATGAGTGTTATTGATCATGTGACTCTCGGTCAGATGTTTTTGAAGTTCATGATGCTCTTTGGAACATAAATCATGCTGGAGAACATGATCTTCAGGTCATTAAAGCAAACCTAGTTTTATATATATATATATATACACGCATATATATACATACATACATACATACATACACAGTGTTAATTGTCATTAGTTCCATTAGACAATATGGTTTATCTGAGTTCTTCGTATTATAATTTTCCTTATAATAAAGTATATAATAATGCAATGCCTTAATCACTGCTTAGAATACTATGAAATATGTTGCATGCCTTATTCTGTGTAAGAAGCCACATCATCTCACAGAAAGATT